CTAGTGCTTTTTCACTGTCTAAAAGTAGATAGAAAAGTTGTTATAGTAGATATTATAACAACTTTAGCAGTATCTACTAAAGAGATAGGGTCTGGTTTCTATAGGCATTACACATAGACGAATCCTAGTTACTTTACTTTAGCAAATTAATATATTCCTGCATCTATTTTTGTATAGTTTATTCAAATAATCCAAATACAACACAATGAAACATTAATGTTTCATAGGTTTTTTAGATCATGTTTAGGCACGCACGCGCAGAAAAAACTATTTAGACCAAGTTTCAAATTCAATTCATTAGATAGTCTTCTCACGCGTTGACATGCTGTTTGGCATATTTTAATTGAGTCAGATCTTAGAACTAGTAGTATTGTCTATTTATAATTGGATCGGGGAATTTTGGACGTTTCTGATCAATTTATTGATTGTAATACCTAATGATCGCTGGTTGATACTTCATGGCCACGGGTCCGGGTGGTCGCTGGTCGCCGTATCGTAGTAAATGCGTTCGCAGTTTATTTTGTTGTGCGCCTGGAATTTCTTACTAAGAGTAGGTACGCGTTGAGAATATTGAAAAATTAATAATAATATTGTTAGCTTTCTGTTATTGGAAATTAAAAGTTTCAAGGTTATCAGCAACTCTGTCAGTTTGGAATGGTAGAGTAATGAAAAAAGCCAAAACGTCGACCTCACAAGCTTCTTTTGTTATATCTGGTAGGTAGAATGTAAATTAAGTCCTTAGCTTCTTTATTCCAAAACTATTATGCATGTATTTAACTAAGTAGAAGCTGTCGAAAAATGTTTATAGTAAAATACTTCAGTATTTAAAAGCTACGACTTTTCAAACAAAACTTATCTAAGCACAATGTTTTCAGGGTAATTAAGTTTAATAAGTTGCGATAACAAAGTCCTATTAAGTACATAAGTACCTACGTGTATGTTTAAGTTCAAATCACAAATACGAATCTACATTCGAACAACATACGACTAGTATTTTATACACCGTTTTATCAAAGTAATGAAGCGAGACTATCATTGGATTCCCAAGTATTATAACATTTTGTTCTGTAATACTTGTATAGAGTGAATTACAAAGTCACAGCTGCTAGATAGTGTATAATATAATTGCAGATAACTGGGTCTGCTGTCCAGTGCTGGTCGAGGATCCTTGCCGAGTGGACGACACGGGATTGGACGTGAATTAAAGAAACAAGGTAGGACTAAACAATTTGTTTACAAAGTTCTTTAGAATTAATCCGATATTCGATTTGTTATAATAATTTTAAATGTTGTTTTTAGAACTGTTCATGATCGTCTGATGGCCTCAGAGATTACTGAAGTACATTTGAATTAAAACCGTAATTGACAAAATGTGAACGTTATGAATTAATTAAAACTTATCATAGATATGTATGTTAAGTAATTAATATACACATAGCTACAACATAAGGCAAGAGTAATTTCAATTTCAAGTTACGATATACTAGATAGATACCTTAACTTTAACTGATTACGTGTCTTAATGTATTTTAATACTTATCTACATAAAACTAGGGTATCTTTCTCATGCTGAAACGAAAAATGCAATAAAATATCTGATACGTTTTATCAGGAGATTATACATAATATTATAATTAAGGGTTTGCGATTAATCTGATGTAGGTACCTATCCCATCCATGCATCTCATCGGGTCACGTGGCTGTATTGCCAGCTAAGTAATTATTACTACTAGTGGTATCGCTGTGCAGAGAGTCATTGCTGCACTGAGGCTCTTGCCTAATCCGTGCTCTTAAAATAAAACCAAAAACACAATAATTACATTTATGATCAGCCGGGGTTGCGGTAAGCGCAATAATGCACCAAGTCCTCGGCCCAGAGCAGGAGAAGGAACGGAGGGGTTTTTAGTTAGTAAGAGTTTGACACTCCCTCCTGGGTGGGAGAACGCATTTGATCAATTTGTCTGTTTGATTGCTTAAATTAAATGTTAGGGAAAATATTTAGTTTTAATTCCGCGACAAAAATCCAGGCTTGTTGCAGGATGCAATCCCACTCCTATGCAATCATGCATATGCACATGCAGCAAGGGTCCCACCCTCCCGCCCACATGCATATGCACACATACACTAAGCGGAAAAACATGCCACGCAATCAAACCTATACTCGACACGTGTTTCGCCCCTCCACAGGGCATCCTCAGGAGGCGTTGACTCGACGAGCGCTCGGCTGCGCAGCCTGAAACTGGATTTTTGTCGCGAATTTAAAACTAAATATTTTCCCTAACATTTAATGTCATAGATTTCCGCAAAGTAACGCCTGATTCTATAAATTATGTTTGATGGCTATTCAGTATCTTTAACAGTTAGTTGCAGGTGATACGAAATCTTTCGGTTCCAGCTCTATCCGCCGTACACTGTACTTTTTTAAGGGTGGAAAATCATCCAATATCTTGTTCTGGCCTGAGAAGCTGTCAGACCCTAGCTAACTAAAACTCATCCCGTTACTTCTCCTGCATCGAACTGGGCCGCGGTATTGTATTGGGATAAGCGCATACAGCTGGCCGATGTCATCAGCTTAATGGCCTAATCGGATGTCATGGACATCGGCCTTAGTGGAGTCCATCTGTCGTCATCGGCCTCAGTGGTGGGTTGAACTATCTTTCTTACGCCCGGGTTTAGGTGCAGTCAGTTCCATAAGCTAGTGTTTGTAAATATGCATGTATATGGATATCTGTTTTCAAAACTGATCAAGTGACACCATAAACTGAAACTGACTGAGACTTTATTTACTAAATGAAAACTTTATTTACGACGCTTACTAAATGTCAATGATGTTATTAAATCAAATTTTATGTTTTTTATTCAGGCGACAGTAGCTCATAGATATGCCTTAAAACGAACATATAAATGACCGTTATGTAACATAAAGCTTTTAAATGAAATGGTTTTTAATTTCATACAAATAGGTTAGATAGTAGCACTTTTAAAGTTAAAACGCCCAGAAAAACTGTCAGTCTTATTCCAAATAATAAAGTTTTGAATTCCTGATGACAGCTTAAAAAAAGAGCACACACACACACTACACTGCACAAGTGCAATGTGCTAATTATCTTCTAACTGGTATTATCTAAGTATCTATTAGGCACATATAGCTCTATATAGAGTCAGAATACCATTCAAGAACAACGTATCTAGGAAGATGATGCTTAAATTGTACGAGTGCATTGTTTGCTAATCATGCATCCCACATGATCTCGCAAGTCTCATAAACAGTTCATGCTTCACTGCAGTAACTGCACTTATCAATGTCACATCAAGCTGATGGAAAAGTAGCTTTGCAAAGTTTTACAAGTAATTTTATCATCAGGCGCAATAATGTAACAAGAGAAGGAACGGGGTTGTTTTTAGTCAGTAAGAGTCTGACACTCCCTCTCGCTTCACTCAATAATTTTCCCTCCTCAATAAGAGGTACCTTTAGTAGCAAATGATCAAAGTACTTTTAATTAATTATTTATTATTCTTTCCCACGAAACCCAAAGAAAAACAGTTTAATATAAATAGTTACATAAAAAGATACAGAAACCAAATAAAGAACAAAGTATCCGAAATGATCTCAGTACCATATTTGGTATGCAGTTGAAGTCGTGAGCCATTTGCTGCGCGCGCGCATTCGATCATCAAAGTATCGAGCCGATTGATGGACGACTTTCGATCCATAGTCCATACCTACTCGTACAATATCTCGATAGACTCGAGTTATGATCGGAGCGAGCGATGACTGCGCAACTTCGACAGGTATTACGTGATACAAGAAACACATAAAGTGAACGTAGATGGAGAAAATAATGTTAAATCTAATCAAATGTCTAATACGTACGTTTGAGAATCGAAAGTGAGTGAGGGTGATTAAGAGTAATATTACCTAAAACCTTACAAACTAGTGCGTAAAAGACACATAGGTAGTAATAATAAATCCTGGGTAGATACTGTTGAATCGTAATTAACTTCCAAAATGGCTGACGTGTGACAAGGTCACGCTCAATATCACACAAACAATACAAGACGTGTCTCAAAAGATAAAAAACAAAACACTGCAATTAGTGTCGGTTACAAGCTTACAGCAGCAAAGTAACCTAAACACAACAAGAAACATGTTTGTAATAAACCCAAAAAGACCAAAATGTTTAAATTAAACGCTCATTTAAATTCATTGCTAAATAATAAAACAGTATGTACGCAGACAGTACGTGACATCTACCAATCTGATAATCCAAATTATTTGTTCTAAAATTCCAAATTCAAATTCAAAACAGACCTCATTATTTGTGCAACGTCTTCACAATGACATAATCTAAATCTAGCATTAAACATATCGAGTGAGTTACGTCACTTCCTCGAGCGCGGGGTCGTTAGCATGCGCAGGCGCAGGATACATGTCAAGCTGCTTAATTTGTGTGCGGCTGCAGTTGTTATCAGTGCAGCAGTGGTAACGGGACAGCGTGCAAAATGGGGATGAACGCGATTAGGATGCATACTTATACTACTTATTACCTACATAGGTATTACGCATGAATAAGGAAATTCGCATTGTTATTAACTTTTATGGACGAAGGTCAACCAGAAACGTGACTTAGAACATAAAATTAAAATTGCCTTCTAGTGAAAACTATACCAATCGTGATAATTTTAGGTTTTTCATTGTTTTTTACTAGGTAATGTATATTTCTGTGCGTTATTTTTTTGTCTGTTTGCAATCTCCGCGTGCATCGTGGGAACACCAGCGCTAGTGCAGTGACTGTGAGTCGTGAGATGCCGCGCCACAATCCGGTTTCCTTCCTTCCTGTCTATACGTACTCCGTCTGTTCTTACAACTTAGATTACACAAGAGTATCGAAGTACGCGCTCTATCTAAATTCAAATGAATTTTCATTTTGCTTATCAACATTGTAATCTTATCAATCGACCGCCAAATATCAATATCACAGAGTCCCAATTTCTATTGACTAGTGCAAGGTCATGTGTTTGTGACGACACTATTGTCGGTCGCGACCTTTGCAGCCCATACCTAAGTTGTGACCGCAGGCAGCCGCGGCTGGCCACCACATATTCCGTTTGATCGCATACGCAATGAGGTGGAACAGATAACGAGTTGGTGGCGTAACTTGTAATCGCAGTGGCGGTGTGGTCGCTCGCTGCGCCCGCGCCACTCTGCCACCGCAGCCGGACAGACGCGGACGTTCGCGCCACTTTTTGACACCTGTCAAATTGATCGTACTTTGCAATCGCGAGTGTTTCTATTGACATTTCCTTGTATCTCAGTTATCTGTGACACCAAGTTTATTGTTTATTTGGAGTCTGTCGGTGAGTTAATTACTGGCCGTCTGCATGGCTTTTATGTTTTATTTTTGACGTCCTTGTAAATAATTGCTGCTATTTTGACTTTGATTGCGGTTTTGATATAAGCAGTCGTGCAACTATATTTTTATTTATTTACATGCCTATGTTATCGTAGGTAGGTATAACGATAACTAAACAAGTTTAGAATAATTTGAATTCATGATTTTATTTATTTAGCGGTGGGATTATAATACCTAAGTCAAACGAAGGTTTGGCAGAAAAAATACGCGAATTTGTTGCTAATTCATTCGTACGTAAGTACTTAAAGTTGAAGGCAATTTTTTTTTTTATTTAATTACTAGGTACATTTAGTAACTCAAGGATTTTAAATTCGATTCACGACATTAGGTAGAGAGTGCTTAATCATTCGGCCATTGTCTTACAAGAACACAAGAACATTTTCCAAAATACGAAATTTCATAACAGATAGATGAGTTTTAGAAACGAACAAGTGTTGTATGTGTGAAGTTATATAAGTTCCATTGCACAATGGTGGCGGGCCATAGAGCGCAGAGTGTATGAAGTGAGCGGGCGCCAGACCCGGCCTGACCTTTGGGGCAGCACTATATGTACTTGTTAGCTAACATACAGCACCGGTTCTACACACTATTGTTTACATACAACATTGTAGCCTTCACCAAACAGTTGGTTTTTTTTTAAATAAACGTTGCCCCACTTTTAGATTTTCTCCTGTGTCGTGGGTGTGGTTACAAACATACAATTTTACGTACACATGACACCCAGACCCGGAACAACAGTTTGTGGATCACACAAAAAGTTGTTCCGTGCGGGAATAGAACCCGCGACACGTTGCACGGCAGCCAGTTGCCCAGCCACCGCACCAACCATACAGTCAAAAATTTTTATAAATTTTCTTCTACAAATATTATTGTATTGAAGAACTAGCTACTCTAGCGCAGTTTCACCAGCTGCTCGGCTCAATTTGATCGTAGCGTGATATTTTATAGCAATCAGGAATATTGTAGCTATCTATCAGTGAAAGAATTTTGGCAATCCGACCAGCGGTTCCAAAGATTAGCCCCTATATACAAACTTACAAATTTTACCTCTTTATAATATTAGTATAGATTATAAGTAAACTAAGTGATCAAATTTGATTGATGGACCTTCAAACAGATATACACCATGAACATATTATTATAATTATGTATCGATACAAGTTAATATTGAGGGAGTTTCCCGATAAAATCGGAATGAAAGTGATAAATGATAATCTTCTTAATAAGTTCAAAATAATCTGATTGTACCTGTAATTAATTATTGATATGACGAGAGCTTATGTTGTTGCTAATTTAAATAATAACTTATCAATAACGCTGCATCAGGCAGAAATGTTAAAGTTGAACTTTTTACTTGATATGTTCTGATAAGGGATAATAAGTGAGGGAGAGCCAACTTAGGCACAAATGGCCTGGCTCTACCGGAGTGATACAACGGTCTCACAGAAAACAGGCGTGAAATAACCCTGTGATTGTTTCACGCTGGTTTTATGTTGTGTTTGGCCGTGTCAGTCGACGTTGGTAACCTTGGAAGTACAATCCTTCTACTTCCCCAGTCCCTCCCTAATGTCTAAATTACAAAACAGCCATTATTCTTCTGCTTCCTGTGATGCCAATTTATTCCTGAAACTTTACTTACAGACAAGTCTTTAAATTCATCCCTGAAAAAAATATTTAGAGTTGTTTATTCATATTACATTATTATTCTCGGAAGACATTCAAAACTAATGGTTTTTTTAGAGTAAAATGAGATAAGTCCAATCTAAAATCACCAGAACTTCACATATATTTGCGTTCTGTATCATTGTGTGAATGAGGTTAGCAGAGGTCTACTTAATCTTTGAAATAACACTTCACAGAAAATCGGACCAGTGTTGTGTTTAGCCGGATAAGTGAGATTACCGGAGGACAAATCCTTCCCCTCCCCCAATCTCTCCCTAATCTCTAAATGTCCCCAAAAAGTCGACAGTACACCCGTTCATGGGCGGTGCCGATTGCTTACCATCATGCAAACCGTCTGCTCATTTGCCGTCCTATATCACATAAAAAAAATTACCTATAGATGCAATATAATTATGTAGGAACACATTGCACTCACCTACAGTCCTACATAAGGTTAAATGCCAACATAGTCTAGGTACCTACACGTTAAATACATCACAGTACTAAGTCATGGAGTCTATCAACTAACTAACAGGTAAATTATCTTGTTTGGTTCAGTCACGACATGATTCCCCGGCTCCCGAGCCGGTTATGACGCGGGAACCGTGACGGTACCGTAACCGCATCGTAACGTCCATATATTAATGTTTACATCGCGTGCGCGTGCGCACACAGATCCTAGTGCGGCTAACAATTTCTGTTTGTATTAACTTAAGACGAGGTCGCCTGTAATTAGGTTTTAGTATAATTTAATATGATTTATTTGTTGTATCCTATTTTGTGTCTAATCGCCTTCGTTATAGGTACTCGTATTATAATTGTGTTGCTACTCACGTGAATTAACGAGAAAAGCTCTACTAGTTTCAAGCTTCAACGGAACTCTTATTCTTGAGCAGCGTGCACGTCGCGGCTACGTCGCGCAGCCATTTCTTGAGAATTTGCTGCGACTTGTAGTAGAGCTTTAAGTTAATTCACGTGAGTACGTCGTTATTTTCAATAAATCTATTATTCTTCTGTCCAACCCTCTAACTATGAGGAAGAAACTAAACTATTATTTCCAATAATTTCGGCAAAATTTGAACTATAAAACCTTGTTATTATTGATAACAACAAGTTTCTCCATATGCGTTGTACGTCGTTCAACGCGCATTCCAAATTACGCAGCGAAGGAGTAATACAGTTTGTGTAATGTTTAGTTCCAATAACAGTACAGAACTAGTATTTATATATTGTAACGGATTCATTTACAAACATTTCTGTCTATTACCTACTACTATCATAAAACAAGTTGAGCTTGTGATAATAGGTAGTTCATTTTCTATTAGTCACACAAACTATGGACATTAGTAATATTAAAACAAACAATACCACTTGACCCGGAAAAGTTCAAATGTCGATCGCCTCTTTTATTAAACTTCATTGGTATACCAACTGGTAAGAATCCTAACTTACTATTGACAATTATTTATACCAACATCCCCAAATTAGTTTTTTTTTACTTATCTATGAGTTGTCCTAGTCTCTGGAAAAAAAATCATTTTGTTTGTCAGTGTCACGGATTCGGTGATTGGGACCGCGGTCATATTAATTGTGGTAGCTGATACCTGATACCAGATTCAGTTATTTAGGACCACCAGAATGTTTTGTGTAGATTGGTAAGGATGTCACAATCCCAAATTTTTCTTCCCAATAAATTGGGTTTCCTTGAAGAAAACTATCTACTCTATGTCTTGTACCTTATCGGATAATAATTAATATTATTTTGTGTCAAAACGTACGTATTCATAATTTGTTGTACCTACAATAGCGACCCGCCCAGGGTTTCGCACGGGTGCTAAGCTGATACCTGATGATGTTATTATACATATGTATAAGCCTTCCTCTTCAATTATTCTACCTGCTAAAAAAATCGCATCAATATCCGTTGCGTAGTTTTAAAGATTTGTCAAAATGGACAGACATAGGTAAGTACTTAACTTTCTTATATTCCTTGTGTGAACAGCCATTCAGTAACAGAATTCACGTTACTTGTTTGTCAGTAATTCTTTACTTAACACCATTAATATGGTAATTAATGACGTATACACGTCTTTTGTCTAATATACAAACATATTTACAAATTTCGTTTACGTTTACAATACAGTTATGTATGTACCTAGGTAATTAACATTGCTAAATGTCATCACTCATCAATGATAATACCTAAATATTTCTGGAATTGATATCAGATGTAATAAAAAGATTAAAAGTCAATTTACTGTTACATTTATGCATTACCGAAAAAGATGAAGCACAACAAATTGCAGTCTATACATTAGTAGACACTTACTTAATTAATTGAGTATGGGGAGGAAGGAGGTAATCTCACTCACTCGCCGAAACAAAACCTAACATACGTGTTGTTTGACACCTATGTATTTTCTGTGAGGCCGTGGTATCACTCCTGTCGAGCCGGCCCATTTGTATCGAAGCTTGGGTCTTGCAGAATTATTAGCCTTTTCTATGATATGATTATATTCAGCTCTTCATAAATATTTATGTCGTAATATTGTTATTAAATTAAATTTTGGCAAAATGATTGTTTAATGATAAATCGTCATTCAAATACTACCGCTTTCACCAAAATTAAAGTGATTTGTGAGGTGGGCAATGCAAATCTATGTGCTATTATTAAGAATACGGTTACTGAAAACCTAATTATTCTTTGCCCTACCCTGGAATTAAACTAGAACCCCTTCTACCACGATTAGATGACAGTTATTTATAAGACTTGTTTGTACGCATGGCACGTGTTTTTGTATGAAATGCACGAGATAGGGATTATGTTTTTAGGTTTAAAATTCGCTTCCACAGTAAATACCCCGTATACATCCGATAAGATTAGATTTGCATCGGCCGCATTGTAAGTGAAAGAATTTTCATAATTTTGCACCTTATTAGTGTAAACAGTATAATCTTTGAACCATTTTATCAATCAGAGCTTCGTTTGGCAGGATATCAATTAATTCCATTCACGTAAGTGTATTTATTATATTCGTTTGAAGGATAAATGAGTAATCCTGTTATTTCCCGAAGTTGTCCTACTTAACTTTTAACCTTCAACATTAACGATAACGAGAGAGAGAAGAGAAAGCAATCGGTGCTTACTCTACGAAATAATTCACAAAATTATCCAGACAATGCAATTGTAGATCTAGATGCGATACAGCAGCAATATCATATTTTTGCTGTATCGCAAAAGACCTTCGCCCGCATAAAAGAAATGTATTCCGGGATTTTTAA